CTAACCAATCTTCGTAGCGTATTTCATTTTTCGCCCTTATTTTGACCATTAGCTATGTAATGACTTGATGACGATATCCCGAAAACATTAATATTCGTCACTGTGTTATTTTTCAATGATTATGTTGTCTGGCTCTTCTCATACATGTCCGTTTCACTGATCACAGCTCAAAAGACATCCACCGTTCTATAGATGATTCGGCGAACCTTCCGCCTCATTAACCACACAAACTTCCAGATACTCCGGAGGCCTACGTCGACCACTTCCCGATTTTCCAAACTAAGTTTTCTACTCAGGGCGCAAGAAGAACTCAACCTTCAGTGAGCATGTCCGGCGAGCTGCCACAAAAATTTATGCCGGCCTTAAACCCGTGGACTATGAAACGCGCGTTTGGATGCTTGCGCTCTTTGCCCTAAATCATCGCATCCTCTGAGTAGACCTAATACTTACTTATGCCTTGAACAAAGCTTGGCCAGCAGGTCTTCCACGACTTCCCCGAATGAAACATGGCAGGACATGGTTAGAAGATTTGCAAGCTCAGAGCGCACACTTATCGGGCAACCGTTTTTTTTTCTAATTTCGGGTATTTAGTGCGTGGAATAACCTTCGTCGTTTGTTTGTTGATGCTGCATCTGGTACCCGGTTCCAAGAAATTTAGGACACGATTTAGTCGAGTCCTTATTCTGGCTAAATTATCGCTGAAAATTTAAAGAGTATTAGGTCACCTTTTTTGCATGTGACCGGTTTCCCGAATTAACTGATCATGAAGCCGCCTCCAATGCTTGGCATTACCGGTTATTAGAAACGACAACAGCTGAAACCAGCGTACATCTGTACCTAAATTTTAGCCATCAAACTGAAGTAGTCTCCGCCGGGATACTACTAGAGCTGTCAAATCTAGAAAATTTGGCCAAATTGTGGGCAGGATTTTGAGCCAAATGCTTTGGTTGAAGGTCCAGATCATCCTTCTGTCTAGATGTGAAAGCCCTAGTAGTATCCCAACCCATGGACAACCGTGACTGTTACAACTAATAACCGACCTGGTCTGGGAGACTGCGAGTGTTGCACTGACACAAACCGTGGTAATGCCTGGTCTCCTCGAGAAATCCATTTTGATGAGAGACCAACTTAGTGATTGTACATGATGCTAAATATGTCTACACGCGCTTCTCAGTGCGCCATACAGCCTGAGATGTATCGGTGCCTAAATATGTAGCATATGAAACGTTTTGTACATCATCTAGGAGACTGATGATGAGTTGGAAATGTCCTAAAGCCCCCTGCAGACATTAACTGAGATAGAAGTCGAGTCATCGTATAAACAGAAATTGTTAACAAAAATGCTGCTTGCATAGAAAAATTTGCCTTTGCCCCAAGATCCCGGCTGTAAAAACACTTCAGGTGCTCTCTGTCCTTTTATGGTTGCCCAGTAGTGGAATATCAGTGTCAAAACTGATGCTACTGCCCCTGATGGTGGTAAAAACAGAGACGATAATGATGAAGTGAGTTCAGAGTGTGTCGCTATCCGCCCCGTAGTAGCATTTGACCTAATGTTGCTCAACCCGTTTTAGGTGTTTTTTTCTGCGGTGGTGTATCTCCGAGATCACTCTCCATGTATGAGTCCATTCTTGATCGAATGAAAGATGAGACATACCCTTGTGAGGGCCTGTCCGATTGGACTCAAGATGGTTGGAGGCATAACTTGTGATATGTAGTTTGCGACATCACAATGAGTGCTTGAAGGTTGTGTTGAGCGTGAAAGCGCAAAGCTCGTTGAATAGAAGGAATCGTTCGGCTGTAGTAATTTTCCGGTGCCCAATTGCCGTGCCACCCGAAAGAAGCACGAGGTCTGGGATACTACCAGGTTGCCCAAGCCTAGACAGGGGAAGTCGAGAGGCAGAGGTTGGGTTAGAACCACGGACCTTCGGGTCAGTAAATTCGCTCTCTAACCACTTGAGCCATCTCACTCTTTGAACCCCAACACTTTACTCTGACTTGTTCTTGGTACAGAAAATTGATGAGATATCGTTTACTATAGAATTCTCGCATAATTCCCACCGTAGAATGCATCCTTCCTTCCAAAGGGAGCGATGGCTTTGCGTGACACAGATCGCACACTGGCTGGCAGATAGTGGTGGATCGGGGTCTGAACAGAAACTCTGTTCGCAGTCGTAACCGACGGATGGGTGCGCATCGAATTTTCAATCAGGTCGATTAGGGTCTTAGCTGATCGTAGCCAAATCGAGGGCACGAAATAAACGGTTTTGACGCCGAAAGTTGCTGGGACGAGAGACATCCCGGCCAAAATATACTGGTATCTCTAGATAAGCGCATTTTCTATGTCGAGGAAGCAATGCTGAAATTGCATCATTGGCAGGGAATCAGACGTGACCCTGGAATTTTACCTTAACATTCTTACACATGGTCTAGGAGAACCGAACGTAGGTGATCCTGGTGAGAGGAAACATTACATATGTGGCCACATTTA